AATTTTCTAATTTTACCTCTCAATAAATAAAGCGATGAGATGTTAAGAGAATCTGTCAAGAGGACTAAGTTTAATACTAGAAAGGTCGATTGCGCATGTTTGTAATGGCAATTTTTATCTGATAGCTATCTGTGTAACCTTTAATTATAGTCACCGAACATCATTCAAACATTACACCGGTAACTTACCGTGACAAGTTGGAGAGGATTGCGTTACAAACACCCTTAACGTCTGGGGACTTTTTAGCTAACGCACTCCCCTGGATTCGCGTCACTCCTTCCTTGAGCTGATCTATCCGTAATACTGCTGCAGCCTAAAAGAAACGAGATACAATTTACCTCTAATCACAATATGAGAACTTCACAACGAGCTACATGTGAAAGTCAACCTTCTCCATCCTAAGCCATCTTTCTTCCATTTTGATTCTTTACTATCGTTTATCAAGTTTACTGAATGAATATTCTGTATTCTCCTTCAAGTTACAAAGAGTTTCGCATGACACGCAGTTGCTCGAAAAATCAAGAGGTAAACAAAGAGGAAAGAGGAAACTATTTTCACAATCGCTTCACAAATCAAGAAAACTCCAACATTGAATTTATCCAGCTTTCACTTTGCCAAAACACCATGAACATCCTACCTCTTCCGTATTTTTTACTTCATTGATGAACTTTGTGGTGAGTTTAAGAATTTCCCGAAGATGTCTTATCTTCACATCTGAATCGGATTCAGCGACCTTGGTCATTACCTTGGAAAGAGAATAAAGTAGTTTTCAACAGTTGACATAAAATAACGCCAACTAATGGTGTTGTTAAATAGTACAGTTAAATAAACTGTACTTCTTCATACAATGTGACAATTCACTCTGAGTAAGATCACCAGCGATCAAACTTGGAACCACTCAGAGTTACTACTTTAACACAGCACGAAAAGCAAAAAGTTTTCTTGGTAGTTATTAACAGTAAATGGTTTGAACCGGGGAAAAACATGTGATTGTGTAGTCTGATTGTCCGATTGTCCGATTGATTATTGTCCTGAGCAGGATTGTTATCAGGTAGTGGTAGCAAAAGTTTCGAAAGCCGTAAAGAAACT